ATCGACCGACTTAGCTTGAGCAGCAAGTGGCCCAATATCCCTAACATGAGCTCCACAATGATTCTAGGCAAGTTAGGTGAAACGCACAAATGTACAAACAAAACTACCAGGATCCTACTTACAACGCTTGGCCCAATCGGTTCGAGAGTTCGGCGCTTCCTTTGCTTCCGATCGATGCTGCTCGGCTTCGGAACCATTATATCAGCGTGCCGCTTATGCCGACTGGATGGCATCGAGGCTTGGTTGTTTGGTATGGAGGGCTGATGATTGCTGGTTTTGATCGACTTGAACGAGAACTCGCTCCGCTTGTTGCTCTCCGGCAATTCCTAAACGAGGCAAACGCAAACAGTCAGCACCCTTAAATGCACGAGGCTGGATGGAAGAGCTTAGAAAGGGGCAACCTACGGACTTTTCGCCTTCGAGAATAACCGAAAAATTGGCCGGGGGCGCCGACATCGATTTCCGGCGGTACTTCGATATGGGTTTAATCGGGGCTCGGCGCTCCTTCTGAGCGATGGCTGGGCCATCCTTCAGCAGCTTCACCAGCTGGACAAAGTCCTCGTGGGACGACTGAGTGGGACTTTCGCATTTGATCACATCGGTCCGCTGCTCCACTTTGATGCCGTCGTATTCTCCTTTTCGCTTCCTTTGCGCCCTGGTTACTGTCTGAGGGAAAGTACTGCATGGAATCGCCCCTACAGCTACATGGGAGGTACGAACCGTTTCAGCTTCCAGGCCCTTTTTTCCTTCGTCTGCCTTGAAATCGTGCTGGCTGATCCACTTTTGGACGCGCGTGTTCATTTTTGGCGATACATTTTTAGCGTCGTCGAAAAACTCCATTTCAATCTCCCTTTCCGCGCCCACACTGCCACTCAATGGCGGCAAATTATTCGACTCTTTGGCCGGCCGGTGATCCCCATACAGTCTCTGTCTTCTCCCAAACGAAAATTTCCTCGCTCTTTCCACTTGTCTATTGTGCGACGTTTGTTGATGACAGGTTTTCCTCGAATCTGACTCGCCTGTTATGCCTAGTGAATCGATTATTTGCCTATCCGCAGGTGTGAGCA